ATTGAGTCAATATTTTTTTCCAAGATCGATTTCATATTAGAAATGCAATATCAGCCCATCATGAAAATTGACATATTGTGATCGTTAATATTCCTCCAATATCAAATAAATATCGACAAACTGATATCGGCTGGTCACAAAATTTCAATGTTATTAAAATATTGGCAATGGATTGATGATCGAATATTGAAATGAAAAATTGGTTCGATATTGGTGCAATCTAGTAATTCCATATTCAATATTCGAATATTGGGCTAATATGAAACCATGTTCTAGCCAATATGATGTTCTACCTGGGTTTCCGGCATTATTTTAAATATGTGTCAATATTTGTAATCAATATACTACTTTCATTCATTATCTATCTCGTATCAACTTCCAGTTATGACATTATTCAATGGGATCCATCAATATCACATTATACTGATGTTCAATATGAAAGATATATGTTTTTGTAGATATATACGGTATTTCGATTCTCGATAGTTTCTCCATATTGTCACTCAATATCTATTCAACTATATATGAGTTTTCGATATAGCTCTGAGCTTTATTTTTGATATTTGTCAATATTTTTTTCAATTCACTCCCCACATTGGAATATCATTGTTCCATAAACTTTCGAATACGACATTATTCCATATATGATCATCTATCATCCCAGCATATTGATTTTGGATATAATATTTATATATTCCTTAAATATATCTTGAATATCAATTCTCAATGATCACCACATATTCTCAACCAATATCCGCATAACTATATTTTTAAAATATTTTATATTGATTCTGTTCCAAGCATTCTGTTCAATATGTGTATATATTTGTTTTGAATCTCCTGTTAATATTATGGATAGATATTGTATCAACGTTTGATTGATAGAAACATGAATATCATCCATCAATACCTTAACATACCGATATTTCATACGGAATATATATCTCTTGGCGATATGTTTGAAATATGGTTAATAAATAACCCGTCCATCAGTGGCGTAACTACTATACCGCGAAACCCCGCGGTTGCGGGGGCCCGTTCCTCAGAGGGGGCCCTGTGGCCCTGGGTCCACCAACCAGAGCAAGGACTCAGCCAAATTGGTTGATACATGAATATTTTTCAATTATGAATATGCCACTGAAATAATTTCTCCATTTCTGCGAATAGTGCAGAATACAGTTGAATATTATGATGAATGTCCATCAAGTAGTAGCAGTATGATGATTGAAACAGGAATGGATGTTGACTCTGCAATTATTATGGAAGGAAAACTATCATTCCGGATTTTTTGGGATTTTTCTCCTCGTTTCTATAAAATAAAAATATGAATATTATCTCAATATACGTGTAGTAAGGACAAATCAGATGATTTGCCCCAAAATTTCACTGCTTTTAAAGAGTTTTCCTATCCGAGAGCCTGAGAGAAAAATTCACTAGCTTTTCGTCAGTGACAATTTGGAGAAGAGAAATAAAGGTATATTGAAAAAATATCAAATTATAACTTAGCAAATGACGAGACTTCTGCTACTACTGCATTCGAAACTTTAGATACAGATGGTGTGAATATAAAAAGTATTATATCTGAAATCCACGAGGAGCCCATACCTGACTTGAATGCGAGAACTCCTGGAGATGTATTAATTGAAGAATCATTTCCTTGTGATAAAGGCAATTTCAGTGGACGAGAATTGAGCAACACCATAGCAACACGATAAAAATGTTTATTGTTCGTAATGGCCCTTCTCAACCAGATATAAATTCTCTAAAAGAGGAATTTCTCTAATTTTTATTATTCACAGAAAAGTCATGCTGGGCAAATTATTCCAAGAAAATGGTTGTGTTATTCACCCAAAGAAAAAAAAGCTTGTTGGTTATTTAATATAACTAATAGGTCATGGAAAGAAGGGACTTAAGACTGGAAAGGTTTGTCTCGAGGGGGCCCTAAATGATTTTGGCGGGGGGGCCCAAAATATGAAGTTACGCCACTGCCGTCCATATTCCTAACCAATGTCTGAGTTACTATATAGTATGAATATAAGATACTGATATAATTTGAAGCATTCTTTTGAATATGTGTCGATATTTTTTTTTTTTCAATTAGTCTCAACATCAGTCATGAATGCAATAACAAGATTATTTCTCATTATTGATCTATATTTGGTGTCAATATTTACAATATATCACTACGTCGTGATGCCAAGAATATTGTTCATCTTCAACCTACTATATTGTTGGTCAATATCGATGAGCCATCAGTTACATATATAGAGATGATGAATGATTCTCAATCAACGCACTTCATTGTTTTCTTCATATCAACAAATCAATATTGTAGGATGATTATAAATCAATATTATTTCAGATATTTCGTTGAATGATTTAACAATCTCTTTATGAAACATCGATCTACAATAGCATGTTGAATGTTTGGATCCAATATTGTGCCTACTTGATTTCTCGATATTGCGCCAATTTTTCATCTATATTGGTAGAATATCGGCCCAATATGAGTGTGCTACTTGGGTTGAAAGTTGATGATTGCATATTTTTCCCTTAACCAATCTTCTCTCACAAAAATTTTCTCAGCAATCATATTTCCATCAGTTGATGAGTTTTCAATACAACTCTCACAGCGATACTATACTGGATTTCCAGTCACAAGAAACATCGGTACTTATTGTCAAATTCCATTTTTGACTTCAGTTTGAAATGGGTGATAACTCCCCGGGGAAAGTTAAACTTTTCTCAGTAGAGATGTTCCAGATTGCAAATAATTGATTGATAAATCGCCTTCTACTAGGAAAGCCATTCTTATTCGTGAACAATCATGAATTCAATCCTCATAATATCTGTAATGAACTGATATCAAATATACTCTGAATTCAATGAAACCGTGATATACGGATATTAATTTGACGAAGAAAATGATCTCAAGGTCAAATTTCCTTCATCGAAAATGAATATTTCATCAGACCTGTTAGTGCAGAGAGCCGACTCTTCAGATAGGAATGTCTCAAAAAAAAAAACTCCAAGAACAGGAATAAATAAACCGAGGAAAAGCAGAATATCTTGAATAGATAATGGAAAGAATAATAACTCAACCAAATCATCTCCACGAATTGATTCAATGGAATATAATGATGAATATAATGATACAGGTTATGATAATATTGAACGAGAAAATAGATTTGATAAATCTGATTTTGGCCAATTCTCCATTCATATAGAATCTCTAGACAAAAATATTGGTTTTGTATCCAATTCAGCGGTAAGCAAAATTTTTCATCACAGTTCAAGATAATATCCAACTTCTATTGAAAGGACGAGGAAACATAGACAGCTATTATTTCAAAAAATAGAGAAGGCGAATAACTTGCTAGATGATAATAATTTCTTAACAAGAAATAACTTTAACGCTACCATTCCTAACAATTTGATCACACGTATGGCGATTATTAAAGATGTTGATTCCACATATATTCTAAAGAAGAAATGAAACGAAATATCAAAACATCAGATAATAGGAAAATAGTTCATGTGAGGAGATTGAAGTTGTAGAGTAAAGTTGATGGCCAAATACAATACATATATATTTCAGTTATATTAATAACGTCCAGAGGAAGATATATTCCCAAAAACATTTATATACACAATTGCGTCTTTTAAACTTCAAACTATCGTGCACCAGTGCCATTATTATTCAAGATACGGACATACTAAATCAATGTGAGGGAAAAACCAGATGCCCGAAATGCGCGGAAAATCATGAAATAGAGCTATATGCCATGAAAACGAACCTGGATGTCTATATTGCAATGGTAACCACTTATCAAATGAACCTGATACTCCCTTCAGGAATATATTTTTCGAGGTGTCTGAACTAGAACCGGATACAACTCACAACATCAATAGTGACAATAATAATCAGTCTCAGAATAATAAACACGATTTCAATGTCAATAAGTATCCAGAACTACCTAAGCCTATAGTCAAACCATGTCTCAAAGTTTCAATGAAGCAACTCCCTCTAGACCCAAAACTCCAATACAATACACGAGTTTTGATACCTTCACCAAAGTAATATACCCATAAAATAGACGAGGTCATTCACAAGGAAAGAGAACACAGAGAAGTGGAGTTGATGAGGAGCATAAAAAGGCCTTATTTACCCTGCTGGTCGAATCAGAGAAACGGTTACCCCTAAACCAATATCTTACAAGAAATGAGAGATGATATGAGTGATATCTATTTCAAATACAATGATTTACTTCTTGAAGTTATTGAGGAATTCGTTTCACCTACTTGTAAAAAACCAAACACTCTCAACAGACCTAAACAAAGAAGCTCAAGATCAAATTAATAATCTGGAATATAAGAAGCTTCCATTCGACTAAAGCCAACTTGATTCAAATTATAGAACAACATGAATCCGATTCAATTTTCTTAACAGAAGCTTGGTTCAAACCAGATACAGTGGTATAGATCAAAGGATATGAAATGATCTTACATGATTAGATGATGGAAAGGGGGAACGGGGATAATGGTCGAAAACTGTGTTGAATTCAACACATTATAGACCTGCATTAGCAATAAGGTCAATATTATAAGAATCACTCTGAAGGATATACACTTTCCCTTTATATATATAGTCCCCCAGATGTCAAAGTAGACGGAGAAATCTGGTATAATAGCAAAGACAGTCAAAAATTCATAATATGTGGAGATGTCTATCACAAAAAATGAGGAAATTCTATCAAGAATAGTACAGGGCCAGTGCTTAATTCATCGATTGGAGGGAGCAGAATGAAACTGTGTATGCCTCGAAGCGAGTAGACGTGTTGCCGAAGTGCTGCTTTTAAATATTCAAAATCGTGGGAAAAACGTGCAATTATAACAAATCAAACCTTGGTCTCAAAAGTGTTGGCTAGTGAATATTCATCCTAGTGAAAATCATCCATCAGAAGAACGTAATTGCAGTAAGTTCACTTCGTTTTTTCATTATGGCTCCTAGAACAGTGAAGGGTGAAGACGAACTGCAGGTAGCTGTTAAATCTTTAGTCACAAAACTGTGCTCATCAGATGAATTCATCACACAGTTAACTGCTACCATAACTGAGACAATTGGCGAAAAGTATACTAAAGAACTACAAATGTTGAGAAAGGAAAATAAAATGATATCTGAGAAACTCAAAACGCAGGAAGAAACAATCATGCTTCTATCGGAACGTCAAGAAAAGCAGGAACAAATATTCAGAAGTAGGAATATCAGATTTTATGGTGTCCCAGAACAAGACTCAGAAAATTCCATGGAACTTATCAAAGACATATGCATTCGAAAAATGAATTTGAAAGTAGATGACTCCTGTTTTGAATCATGCTATAGAATCGGAAAGAAAGGAACTAATGCAACCAGACCGATTATGCTAAAATGCTCAACGAATTTTCTCAAAAATCTGGTTTATAAAAATAAGAGACATCTAAAGAATACCAGAATCGTGATAAGAGAGGATTTAACTGATGAACAGCTGAAAATAGTGAAAGAATCTTTAAAGAAAGTAGGTGCTACTGGAAGAGTCTGGACGAATTCAGGAAACATTTTCATCAAAAGTAGCGAAGATGGACAGGTTAGAAAAATCAATAAGCTGGAAGATCTTGAAAGACTTTAATTCAATAATTTACTCACTTATGTATTCTTGTTGTTTATTTTTCATATTTTCTAAATATTCTCCTACACCACTTGAAAAGGTTACCTATTAAAAAAGTAAATTTGAAAATGCATTCCTCAAGCGCACGTGTTATTCAAATATTGATTCTGTCTTTTCAATGAATATATTCGATATTGATATGATGCTCCTTGTGGAGTTTTATATTGTAAAAGTGCAATTAATAACTATTCAAAAGGTAGGCTCTCTGAAACAAAAGCAGCACTAGGTGCAGTTGGGTCGAACCCAGTAGATTTTAAATTCTTGTTTGAGGTCAATTAAAAAAACTTACTATTTCATTGTAGTACATAAGATAAGGATTTTTCTGTATAGGTGTATAGTAGGCTATATTTATTAACTATTTCTGAATTATGTTTTTTCTGAAAATCGGTTGTTTGAACGCAAGATCATTATTACCGTCTGTTCGTGATGCTGAAGAAATCATTATAGCAAATTCATTCGACATTTTTTTGATATGTGAAACGTGGTTGAGAAATTCGGTAACTGATGATCAATTAAAAATAAATGGATTTAATATATACAGGGTGGATCGTAATACTAATGGAAGAGGTCTTTGCATTTATATAAGGAATGTTTTGAATTATGAGGTCATTTTCAGTAATCAAGATTGTATCTGGGAACAGTGTTGGATGAAAATTAAAGTAGAAAAGAAAAATATAGCAGTAGGACTTATATATAAGCCTCATGAACAAAACACGAACTCATTCATTGATGAATTCGAAGACAGTTTGATATCAGTATTTCCAACAGTAGATGAAATTGTTTGTATGGGGGATTTTAACTTGAATCTTCTCGACTATGAAAATGGTCTTGTGAAAAAGTTCTTCTCAGTCATAGAGCCCTTCGAACTGTATCAACATATTGATGTCCCGACTAGAATTACTGCAACATCCGCTACCTTGCTGGATTATGTTATAGGCAATAAAGAAAATATAATTGAGACAGGTGTCATATCTAACAGCATTGCAGATCACTCAATTGTATACTGTAAGATTAAGATTAATGAAGAGCGGCGAAATCCAAAAATGTGCACTTATAGAAATTTCAGAAACTTCAAAGAGGAACATTTTGAAAGAGATTTATTCAATACTGCTTTCTTTCGTATATATGATCAAGAAAATATCGATGAAAAAGTTTCATATCTGGTTAATTGTTTAAATGATTTATTTGATCGACATATTCCTCTAACAACCTCCAGAGTAACCAAACCCAGAGCTCCATGGCTAACAGGTACCATTGAACTGATGATGTCTGAAAGAGATAAAGCTCTCAGGAAATATAGAAAGAGCCAATCTGAAGTTCATCTACAGTTCTATAGACAAATGCGTAACTTAACTAATCAAGCTATAAAAAGAGAAAAAAAAGCATATTTTACACATCAGTTCAATGGAAAATCTACAAAAGCCACGTGGAAGATCCTTAAATCAAACGGGCTTATGTCCGAAAAAAAAGCTTCTGATATTCCTACAAGTTTGAAAAATCCAACTGAAATAAATAACTTTTTTGTAGATTCAATTCCACACAACCAGCCTTCTGCAAATCTTATGGAATTCTATGGCAACAACAAACTTGTTGATTCTTCTTTTCAATTCAGTGAAGTCAATGATTATTTTGTCTACAAGACTATTTGTGAAATTAAAACTAACGCGAAAGGCTGTGACGGTTTGAGTATCACACTCATCAAACTTTGTTGTCCTCACATAGTGCCGTACATCACTCATATTATAAACTTCTGTTTAACAGAAAATGTATTTCCCACAGCATGGAAAACAGCAGTTGTGCAAGCTCTTCCGAAGAAACAAGATCCAACTGAATTCAAAGACCTACGTGCAATTAGTATATTACCAACTCTGTCAAAAGTAATCGAGAGAGCCATGGAAGTTCAAATCAAAACCCACATAGAACATTTTTCTCTTATACCATCAATACAATCGGGCTTTCGAAAAGGTTACAGTTGCACAACTGCTCTTCTTCATATCACTGATGATATTCTGAGGGCTACCGATAACAGACAATGCACATTGTTGATACTACTAGATTTTAGTAGGGCATTCGATACGATTCACTATGATTTGTTGTTAAATATACTAAAATACATAGGTTTTGCAGATGACGCACTATCGTTGATGGCTGCTTACTTGAAAAATAGACAACAAAAAGTATGCCTAGGTGAAGAAAGTTCCGAATGCCGGTTACTCAATTCAGGTGTACCACAAGGTTCTATCCTAGGGCCGCTATTGTTTTCCATATACACCTCTCGTCTCATCGAATGTCTGATAAATTGCAAAACTCATTTATATGCTGATGATACTCAGTTATATTACAGCTTTCCAGAATCAGAGAAAGACATTGCTTGTGAGCTCATACTTAGAGATTTGAATGCTTTCATAGAAGCTGCTACTGACCATTGCCTAATTATTAATCCATCTAAATCAAATGTTATGCTCTTTGGTCCCAAGAACCTGACACAAACGATGTCTGATTCTATGAACATCACTATCAATAATGAACCGCTCACGCTAGTAGATGAAGCAAAAAATCTTGGTGTTCTATTAGATACTGAAATGCGCTTTGCTAAACATATCAACCGACTTTTGCAACGCGCTTATGGAACTCTCAAAATTATTTATGGACATAGACAAATTCTTCCATCATGTGTTAAGACAATGTTATGTGAATCACTGATACTGTCAATATTCAATTATGCAGATATTCTTTATGGACCCAATCTCACTTTGCAATACAAAAATAAAATACAGAAAGTGCAAAACTGCTGTCTACGGTTGATATTTGGTGTGAGGCGACGGCAAAGAATATCACATAAACTCAAAGAAATTGGATGGCTCAATATGAACAATAGGAGAGTTTTTCATTCTGTTGTACTATTTCACAAGATCATCGTTACCAAGAAACCTCCATACTTGCATCGAAAGTTGAGGTTCCGAACAGATATTCATAATCTAAATGTTAGGCACAAGGGATTATTGACAGTACCTCCATTCAAAACAGAATTATTCAGACGATCATTCAGCTACCAAATTTTTCATCTTTACAACCAACTACCACAAAAAATGAAAACACTCAATACCAGCAACTTTAAAGCATTATACAAAGTTTTATTGAACGAGTCTCAAATCTGAAATATTGTGTTATGTACGTATATATATATATATATATTGTGCCACCTTAGACATTTCACTTACTTTAATTCTTTTTTATGTACTGCAACAGAAACTTGAATTTACATTAATACACAGTCTTCTTAGGGTTGAGTGGAAGAACAAGTTAGTGGTGACTCACCACCAAATTTGAACTCCGCCCATTATTTTCTTCTTAGAATTTTTCATTGTTTTAATATGATTACTGAATATTTTATTGTTGAAAATAATAAAGACGATTTATTATTATTATTATTATTATTATAATTAATAATGATCTACAACCTACTGTCCGAGCTCTGCACTTGAAGAGTGTAACTGATCTTATGATTTCGTCTTCAAATTTAAATAGAGATATACAAAATTGTATAACATTGGAGGGTAAATACGGTTCCAATCACTTTTCTAACTCTCCAGAAATAAGTTCAGGATATGACATAAACAATATAGAGCTTTCTGACCCAATCAGCAGTAGTTATAATGATAAAACACCATATAAATGAATAAAAACGATCTGAAAATAATATGAAGAATGTATAGACTCAATAAAAATCAATTCGTACGAAGGACTGATTCAGGCAATAAAAGTAGGCATAGAACTAAGTACCCCCATAGTAAACAGAATTCACAAATATAATCATAATCCAAAACCACCATGGTGGGATGATGAGTGCTCGTCAGCAATAAGGGGAATAAAACAAAAATTCGAACGATATAAAGAACATTCTTATCAGGAAAATAACATTGAATCAAAGAAAGAAATTGCAAAATCCAGGAGACTGTTGAAAAAATCTTTTTTAGAATTCACAGAACAACTTTCAAGAAAAAAAGAAATATCCTTGGTAAAAATAACACCAAAAAATTCTCCAGATCATCTGTACACCAACAGAACAACCCACATAGAAACTTGAATAATGTTGAATTCAATGAAGCTTTATTGAAATAATTCTACTTCTGCGATGTTCAGCCACCTCTCATGGGCTCATATAGGAATTTTGTAAATATAGATATCAAATATATTTTCACCGATAGAGAAGTCAGACTCACAATTGGAAAATCAAAAAAATCATCTCCTGGGAATGATGAAGTATACTATAACATGATTAAACACCTTTCTAATAATGCATTCAAATGGCCATTGCGTTTTTTCAATGACTTTTGGTTGAGGAAAGTAGACATTCTCAAAGAATGGAATGATATCATTTTGATTTCTGTTTTGAAACCAGAAAAAGTCCCTTATAACATCAATAATTATCGGCCTATAGCATTGTTACCTTGTCTTGAAAAAGTATTTGAACATTTGATAAAAAATCGCTTAGAATGGTGGATTGAACAACATAACATCCTACCAGAAAATCAATTTGGATTCTGGGGGGGGGGGGGGAAAGGTACTAATGAAGTTCTGAATAGCAACTTGAAATGAGAACAAACTGTCGTACTATTCCAAGATGTACGATTTGCTTATGACAACTGTGGTAGGATTCATCATTTCTCTTGATCGAGTTGACAATCACATTGAAATAAGAACGACTTTTTGAACAGAATACAATTCAGTTCGATGAGAAATGTGCCAGCAACTCGAAATCAGAGGAATGCACGAACCCATGGAACCCGAAATATAACTAGACTCCAATATTTTCCGAAACAAACCCCCTCTCAACAAAGTACAAAGCGCAAATAGGAATACGCTAGCTGAGTTATTCCCAAACTGTGATCAAAATAATGCTGCTACTCAGCGAGCATATAAACTGCGGAACTTATGAAATCAATGTCAGAAGTATTTCT